CGATCTTAAATATAAGAAACGGACTATGAATACCGGCCTATGTGTGACGAAGAGAGCGAATATAAGTCCGTGCTTAAGACAATCTTAAATATAAAAACGGACTATGAATACCGGCCTTAGACTCGTAAAACACTTAAATAATTAAAACGTTTCTTTTTAGAAAGTTTTTTATTGCAAATTTTAAAATGCCAATTGTTAAAGAAATGAAAAACCGACGTCTTTTTGTAGGGCGTTTTTAGGACGTTTTAAAGACGTCTTTTTTAAAATAAAAATACATCAATCTAGTTCAACGACAGTAACAGTTCGTAGAGGAATATGCTAAACCTAAAAAATAATCACTAGTGCATCTGTTTACAAGTATGTCATTTTTACATCGTGCTATTTTTTTTTTTTTTGATAATTCAAAACACACACAATATGTTTCAATAATAATTAATAAAAAGAAAATATAAAATAAAGGAAATCAATACAGTTTTTAAGAATCATATAGACATTAATTAGAATTTATTCATAAAAACCTTGTGCATAAATTTATTATGGATATACCATAAGATAATTTTGCGCTGGAATAGGAAACAATTTCATGTCACTCGTCCGTAGTGTTTTCTCGTCTCAACGTTGGTGGCATCGACTGCCGGATTGTGGAGCTCTCGATGATACAGGCGTAACATCGACGACACATCTTCGCGATCCCCAACCGGACAGTCCTGCGTGTCGTTGATCCGTTGCACGGCCGAGGAAGCGGTGTGGCTCTCGCGAAAGGTATGTCCGACGCGATAATTCATCGTACCGCGCGCGAATATTCCGTCGCGACGTCGACGCATCATCGCGCCTTCCGGTAAAAACAGCGGCTTCGTCTTCGCCGCACGCGTTTTCCCGTTTTCTCGGACGTTTCTATATCTGGAGTTCCGCGAGAGAGGCGATTCTCACCGATGTCATTTGTTCGCATCAACGCGATTATTCGCTCGCGCCTTGCATGTGTATGTGTGTTGTGTGTATCGCGAAGCGCACGCACACATACATACACACGAAACGCCAGAAATAATTTCTCCGATGATACTAATAGATCTGTTTGCTTAGTTGCACTTTCTGAACTTGGTCTCTTTCTTTTTCTCTCTCGTATACACATATTAAAACGTGAATATACATGCATTTTATCTCGGGCACAGAAGGTGCAAGAAAGTAGTTAAATTGAACAGCCTTAATGTTGTGTTTCTCGCCTCCTCCTTTCACGATGTTTTTCTTTTCTCTCGTGTATCTTCCGTCTTTGTTTAACTTGTCCCTTCCTCGCCTCTTCCTCTCCGTTTTTATGACACAATGCGATGTGCCTGTTTTTCATTGTCTGCAAAAATATTTGAAGCATTGAAATTTCTGCTGCAAAAACAATTTGCATGTATTTTTGCATTTTTACTTCGACAATGTATATATAATTGTCCCTCTCAAGTTTCTTCTGTTTTTTTTTGCCGCGTTTCTTCTCTCTCTCTTTCTCTCATTCACACTGTGTCTGTCACTCTAATCTCTGCTGCTTTCCACATTTCTCTCGCATTAACTCTTCCTCGCAGCAGCGAAATCGGGGTCCCGGAAGCTCTGTAAGATTCCAAGAATCTTTATTCGAGAATTTGAAACTGACATTCGGTGAGTTTCAACTTTCGACGCTGTAAACACACGAATTTGATTTCTGTGCTCATTATTGACAGTCGAAACACTAATATTGACGTAAGATCTCTTATTGTAATAATATAAATCGTATCGTGATTATATTGTATTACGAGTCACATTAAATTATGTAAATATGTAATTATTAAGAAACAAATTTTTATTCGTGACAAGGTAAATTTAAATGTAATTATATACCAATGTCGAAGCCAGTTCGATACGTACTTTCTAATATTTAATTAATTAATACAAAATACATATTGTTCAAAAAAAAATTATTTTGACGAAATTCAATCTAAGAAAGCGATATAATTTTTTTGCAAGACAGGAATGAAAGATTCAAAGTTACATTATACTTTTTATTATGCTTTCTTCTTGCTTCATTCATCTTGCTGACTTCGTATATTTTCTCCCTTTTATCTTGTTCGAACTAAAGTCAGCGTTCATATGGTAAATTATTTTTATCACCACGAGACTTCAACGAAATAACTCGTCACCGTGGGCGCATTACGTTTCGCGAGGAAAAACCCCGATTTGGAGCAAAGCGAGGTGACGTTGTGGGTACTCCTATTGCTTAATGACTCGCCGTATCAAAGAGAAATGAGTTTATTGGGAGGCAGTGGCGTAGCTTGAAACTCAAATGGAAATCTAAAAGCGAGAAGCTCTAGAAAACTATTGATATTATTTATATGAAATAATATTAATTAATATTGAATGCCTAACTTAATAATATATGAAATAATATAATTAACATTGACATTGAGAAATATTTTTTTATTTCGTAAATTAATTTGTAAAAAAATGTGCCTTTTAAGATTTATGAAATATAATATTCTTGTCGCAGGATCATAATGGCTACCGCACAATTGAACAGAGCCAGAACTGTGAAGAAGCTCGAGAAACCACGGCCGCTTAAACTCAACCAGCGCAACTCGACCGTCGATGGGCGGATCACGACTGGTAAATTTTTTTGTTGAACAAAATAACTGCAATTGTAATAACAGTTTCTATATACAAACATTGTTCTCTTATGCATAAATTAATGGACGGTGGCTGAAAAATTTCTTCTGATTTTGCAGTAGAGGATATAGTGTCCTTAATCGACAATGTTGCGATGCAACTGACTAATGGCTTCCATGACCGAACGCTGCAAGTGAATGTTATCTCCATGTGTAGTCATCTGAAACTCTATGCCAACCAATTAGAAGCTATATACAAAGGTAAATTTTACCGTGCATAAAACTTATTATGAAAGCCGATCTAATGAATATTTTTGCATTAAATTTAAAATTGTATAAAAAGTATATTACATATATTTAATTAATATCACTTTTATAATACCTTTGTGCAGCACAAAGACAATTTATTTTTTTTTTTTTCTTAATGAGAACTTAATGAGAATTAAATTATGAATTTTTTAATTGATAATTACGTATCGCTAAACACTGAAATATTTATCTATAATTTTGTAACTTTAGATCAGCTGGACCGGGCTTTTGTGGCGATCAGGAATGGGAGCCAGGACGATAGATTAGATCTGACGACCAGGGTTCATCTGCTGGAACTCATCGAGCTGCGAGCGAAACAATGGCGTCATACCGATTCAATGGACGTGTATTACATGCAAAAGTTGTCGCATCTAGACAATGTAGGTAAAAAACAACATTTTATTTATAATTTCTTTAATGCTTATTAAAATTATAAAACGTTTAGAAAAATCAAATTTATTAAAAATAAAATCTTTCTCAAAGAATCTCGTTTTTAGCTTTAATTAAAATTTTCTTAAGTGACATTCATTCACTTTACGTTCTCATCGCCTCACGGTTTCTCAAAATATATATAAGTAAAAATTATTTATTAGGCGATTACATATTTTTTATATTAGTCGAAACAATTGTCTTTTTTATTAGCAGACCGAGGCGGTACCCGATACACCGACGAACTCCCTGACATCCCCGTTATTGGCGATGACTTCTCCCACTTCGGCGCCAATATTGGGACCCGGTGAAGTAATCAAGAACAGCGGAAAATTCGCTAAGCCTACGCGCATACCGGGAAAAAATTATTGCAAAGATGAAGTCGTCATTCGCAATAGCGATTCGGGAAAAGGTAATTAAACTATTCATTTATTCACGTCACATATAAAAATCCTACCCAAAAGTGAATAGGTTTACCCGATCTTTACATGTTCAACAAAAGAAATACCGTCCCCTGAAGTCTTTTCATTGCAATATTTTAAAATTATTAACGTTTAATGACATCGCAATAATAATTTTGTCTAAGCTGAAACGATTTAGTCGAAGAAGTTTTATTTCAAACAATTTTCCGATCATATGTTGTGTCCATACGATATTGTTAAATAATCTGCACGAAAATATAGTGATGGGAATAAAAGGGCGGCGAGTTCACATGATAGAAGAGCTCAGCCAGACGATCATCTCCTTCCAGCGAGGTAAAAAAAAAGCAATGAATGATCCGCCAGTGACTTGTTCGCAGCATCTTGTGCTCATGCATCGCAAGAACGATATTAATCAATCAAATGGAGCCCGTTTGCCCTAAAAGAGTCTCTAATCCTCTCTCACATTCCGGGAGCATTGAGTTTTACGCGAGAGATTGTGCTGACATTCACGAGTGAAATATCGCACCTAGGAACACATTTAATAAAAAAGCTGCAGTCACCTGTTATTCTTAACTTGCATGACGAAGCTATTTACGATCTAACCAGCGTGAAACTAAGAGATGCAAAGCATATCAGCTTTCTTTCATGCGACGACAAAAAATATTCTTCTTGGGTTGAATAAAAATCCGTCGTTTTTTTCTTTTTCGTTTTCATGTAATGGTTTCAAAAAACAACAAATTTTAATCAACTTAATCCAGAATTTATCGGCTGTTGCGGAATAACAAGTAAAGCGTGTAATTAAATTGTGCGTTGCAACTTCGAGAGAATAAATATGTTACGTTATCAGTTGTTAACACGCATCAGGTTAACCGATCGATCGCGCATCGCGGATCCCATGTGAATAGAAAGATTGACACTCAATTAATACTTCGACGTTTAATATAACTCATACTAGCAAAACGGTTTTTTAAATATTCTACACACTTATATATAAATAATTTTCATGTAAATATATAACTTGTGCTTAGGTTCTTTTCTAGACTCATTAGTTGAATATGTTATTCTTACCCCTCGCTTGGCAATACTTTAACAATATTCGACACGTTGTTTTTAACATATTAACTGTGTGGATTTGTGTAAAAGATTTTAACGATAACCGTCAAGTGATATTTTTAATCGATATCGATAAGACTGCCGACTGATGCTGTATCTTGGTTTGTAGTAAACCCTGGAGCTAAAGAACGACTTGTCCAAATCACGGGAACGTCCGAGGACAAGATTCAGTACGTCTCAATACATTTATCTAATAATAATAGAAGTTTACACATTCAGTGACAATCTATTGGCGTAAACGAATTAGACAAAAATATTTTTACCCGCCAGCGATTCTTGCCGCGATGACCGTCTCCATATTTTGTTTTGCAGTTACGCGAAGGACTTAATCAAAGATACGATTCAACGAAATGCATCGCCAGTGAGACTGGAGCAAAGCTCGGGTGGCGAGAAGGGAGCCATGGGTGGCTCCAGCTCCTCGCTCAACAGTAGCGCATCAGACGAGAGCAACCGACTGCAGCAGCACAATCAGCAACAGCACAACTCCCGCTTGCGGTCTTCTCTCCTGCACAGTTTCTCCACTAACGACGCCAGTATAGGCGAATACAAGTACACCGTTACCGTCGGTAACCAGTCCCTCAAGATTACGGGTTGCAACCTCGACCTCGTCAGGGTAAAATGGCGCAATTATTTTGCTAAAGTTTGATTAAATTAACTCTATTTCGATTTCGCTGAACTAAGAAACATATGTGTGATAAATTCTTTTTATTCTTCGATAATAGTTTTCGATTCCTTTTGTACACTTGTAGACGGCAAAGCTGGTGCTGGACGAACACTTCCTGGGTGATTCCGAGAATCATACTAGCGGAATAGAGTACTTTAACTATGAGGAAGAACCTAGCTTCACCGTGACCACCACTTCCACCCCCCACGTTCCCCGTATGCCGTTGTCACCGTTGGACAACGTGAATGCTTCTTCCGCTCTGGGACGACAGTTGAGTGTGGACAGCGCCGCGACTTCCTCAGAGAGCGAAGAAACATACAAGCCTCGTCCGATCTCCGAGGAGCAGCGCACAACTCAACAAGGTACTCGGATATAAATTCAAAGCGCAGGACAAAACATTATTGAGCGCTAAAATATACTTGCGGGTGTTGTCTATCTTTTAAAAAAAAACTAAGAAATTTCGCGTTTGATGAATTATTTATTAAATATAATAATTCGCATTTTATTAATATTTCACACGGGGGACATTCAGAGCTCTTATTTTTTTTCTGAGTTTTGAGAAAATCGGACCAACTTTGCAAACGTAGGGCGATCGAATTCATTCTATTTGTTCAGTTCCAGAGGCAAGAGAGCTCACGTACGAGTTTCTTCTGCTGTGCGCATCGGGTCCGTACGCGAAGCGGCCCCCCACCGACTGGGCGCGCATACAGAAGGAGTGCCCCAATATAGTTCGCAAGGTACCGCTATGCGACAGGAATGCTAATCATATACTGTGTAACACTTTCCGTGTCACTCTTCCCTGCAAGATCGCGATTTAATACTCTTATATAAATTAACATATAACATTAACCAAAAATCAATCAAGACCAAAGAGACTGGAAAGCGAATCCCGTAACATGTGATATTTTTTCATTTTTTTTTTTTTCTTTACAATATTTCGACATGTTCAAAATTGTTTTCAAAGAAAGAACTTCTCGTGCATCAAGCACATCTAATACTCGTAGTGCGTAAAGTTCCGTACTGCGTTATTTTGTTGGTTCCTACGGTTTGCATCTGACGATGCAAACTTATTTTTTTATTATATCGTATTATATATAATGTTCGTATTATAAAAAACTCTATTTTATGTTATACTTTTTTTGTGTTTATTTTTTAAGTTCTATTGAAGCGCCGAGATTATTTACAAACGGCACGATTTCGTCGAAATCTTGTGTACAAGAGACTAATAAAACTAGACTAATATAAAAAGATTAGACTAATAAAAACGTTGTGTGTCAAATTTCGCATACACGCTGTATTAATAAATGCATATTGCGAAATTCGTCGGTGTCTTGCTCTCTATTCGCTCTTCGTTCTTCGAAAGAAGACAGAGCTCGATGAGCGCAGTTTACGCGATGTTTTTCCTAAACAAACGGCTTGTCTAAAAGATCTTTTTCGCAGCTCATAAAATTGGAATATTGTAATCTGACCAACTGGGCGACACGAATGTTAATTTATCAGCGTTTCAAAGTAGTAGCAAATATAACCGTCGTATAAGCTACGCTCGAACGTGTGGACTTACCCGATTGCATGCGATCTGACAAAAGCAAATTAACACCCGGCTTTCCAGCCGAATCGTAGCATGCCGCTTGTAACGTTAACGAGGTAAGAGGTAAAGGTTTGTCCTCTACAAATATCGCGGGAGAGAGCTTTGGGGAACTAATTTCATCCTCTCGACAGGCACCGATTCGCTGGTTCGAACCGGAGGCATACAAAGCCAAACTAGCAGCCGCTGGTCCCGTTGCGATATTGCCGATCGGCGAAGCGGAAACCGATCCTGAATGAAGCGATAGAGTCAAATTGCGGCTATCTTTCCGCGTTATCTCCTCGTACACCCCGACGATAAATTCTCAGAAAGCTGCGCGCGCTGTGTCGGTCGTGACAAAATTGCGACACGTTTTATTCTCTTGGGTTTATAAAAGAAAAGGAATCACTTCCTCGGAGGAAATAGAGCATAGACGTTGAGAAACGTATCGATTCTTCCGACAAAAATGTGAAGAAATCGTTTTTCTAACATTTACGGGACGCGAATCCCATATCTGTATCGTTTGATACGCGCTTTAAAACAATTGATTACGCTAGTCATTAGAGTGAAAAAAAAATATTCTATTTATTGAGAAATTATTTATGAGAGATTATTTTGCTTTTCAATTGAATGCACATTGTGCGAGCCGCGCCAATTCTGAGTGTGAGACGGTGCGAAACGCGCGCGCGATTTATGCAGTCAGCATAGACAATTTCAAAGCACAAAAGCAAGAGAAACGTTGTATTAGTTATTAATCAAGTAACGGGATATACATACTGATTGATTGAAGAGCCACACGTTGAAAGACAGTTATTAATTTTCGTACGTCGTAGTTGCGGTAGAATCGTTAGCGTTAGAAATTAGAGTTGTGCAATATTCCTAAGAAGACTACATCTCTTTTTTTCTTTTTTTTTTAAACGAGATCATGATTTATAATGATTTTGCTATTCGCCTACTTTGGAATCGAGGAAGAGTCTCGATCTTGAAGAAAAGATTAATCGTGAAAGACTAATACATACTTTAGGAGAAACTAGACTAGAATACGTTACAAAAACAATTCTATGCTCTGTAACACAATTGTAAATAGCAGTTTCTCTCTTTCTTTTTCTGAAAACAATTCCAGATTTCGCAATGCGGCGGGATTCAAATTTCGCGTGTAACACGTGCGTTATACGGAGGAAGATCAAATCGGTGATTTAGCATAGTCTAGTCCACCTATTTCAACGTAGGAACCACTCTGGTATTTACTCTGCTGTGAAGCAATAACCAAAAAAAAAAAGAAGAAAAAAAAGAATAAGAGAATTGAGAATTTTATCGAGAGTTTATATTTTATATACACTAAAAGCGTCCGTGCCATGTGCAGTATGTGTGCGTGAGGATCGTCTGGTCGCGTAATTGATACCGTCTGCTGCTCACTGCAAGGTATCGTTTTATGCAATATCGCGCTCGAATTACAAAACTCTTAAACAGGATTGTTATGTCATTGCGTTGACTAATTCCTTTTCCTACATTAGTTCGAGAATCACTTTGCAAAATTTGTATGCCTCGTGTATGTATGTTTAGCAAATAAAAAAATGCAAATAAAATCAAAATAAATTGCAAAACGGATGAAAAGATACGCAATCTTAATATTTAATCAGCTGGCTCGTGTATTTTGCGAACAAGGCTCTCCTCGACCTCCTCGCGTATTGCAAAAGTTTACTGCACAATGTCCGGAACACTTACGTTCGTCTTTAAGTTTTTACACAATTTAATATTTATTACGAGAATTTACACTCTGTTTACTTCGATTAAATTATATATAATTTATTTCTATCATCTCTCTCTCCGACTAACTGCGCAATAACGTAATGGTACTATATTGTATTATTGTACTTTGTCGTTTATAATAATAAATCAACAAAGACACACATGCGTCAGACTATTTCTCTTTCTTTTCCCTTCTAAAAAAAAAAAAATTATACAAGCTGGATATGTGATAATAAAATCGACCGTGCGATATTCGGCACTAAGATTTTTTTTATTATTTCAATAATATATTTATATATATATAATCGAAGTGAGATTAATCACTGAAACATACACATATGTACTCCCGCCGGCCTCTTGCGGGTTCCGAGAATTGTACTAAATATCAATTGCACTCTCTCTCTCTCT